ACAAGTCACAGCCGAGCTGGGCAGACAACACTAATTGGTCGTGTCACAATCACGTAGCCAGTGTCAGAAGCTGAACCTTGGCTGGACTCCTAGTGTGTGCTGTTCGTGTTGCTCTTTGCTGGGCATCGAGGCACTGGCGCTGCACAAATATTACGTATACGCATTGTAGTTGGAACATGGCAATCAATGCCCAAGGAGACGTCACTAGCTTAGCCAACTCGGTGGCTCTTGTTTGGTCTCGTGTTTGCCTGAGGCTTTGGGCCAACTGTTTCGCCAGCCTCATGTTTATCCTGTTACCATATTTGCCTTACACACACGCATGCCTGGCTGCTGTGCGTGCATGTAATTTATTTTATTTGGCATTTATTTTTTATGCTCATGCGAAAGTCAAAAGCTTTCTATGCAAATATGTATCTACGGCATATGCCAAAAAGTGCTTAGCTTTTTGTATCTTTTGTGGGCGTAGTATCTGAGACAGTTGTCAGTCCGTTTGCCGTTTGCCGTCTGCCGTCTGCCGTCTGCCGTTTGCCGCTTGCCATTTGTCGTTTCTCGTTTGTCGTTTGACTGCTGCTCAGCCAGGGCTTATTAGCCTGTTTGTTTTTGTGTTTTGTCTTGTCTCGGCTTTTGTGCCAGATCTTTGACAGCAGCTGCAGCTGACCTCAAGTCCCAACCTGGACCGGGCTTACACTTGTCTCCTGGTTTTGTTTAACATGCAGCATATATATTTATTATACAATATGCATGAGCCTCCTGTGTTTCCTTCACGGCTGGCTCCACAGCAAAGCTGCAAATTTGATAAATCTTTCTTTGTTTTTTTTTTTTGCTTCAAATGTAAATGTAACTCGTAACTCGTAGCTCGAATTGTGCAAAAACTTTTATCGTAAAAATATAAATTACATCAAATATAAATTACAAAAGATATTTTGATTTTACAATTGGTTTGGTTGGATTTGTAGCCTCGCTTGTTTTAATAATGACTGAGGCGAAAAATAACATTGTATTTATATATATTTATATATCTTTTTTTGTTATTTGTAAATGTTTTATAAATTAAAGAAAAAGTTATAGAATTTAAAAAATTAAATTATTAATAAATAAAGGTGTCTGCCGACGTTGCCAAGAATTAGCATAAATATTTGAATATTAAATGAAATATAAATACAATTAAATAATAAATAAATAATATATGCAATTATATTTTCTTATAAATTAAAACAAATTTGTAAGTTCAATGTAACCAGAAAGTTGTAAATTTATTATGCAAATCTAGAAGAAAAAATCAGAAAAGTGTGCATACAATAGACTCAGTAAATTTCATTATATTATTTAAGATTTTCATTTGAGTATTTGCCCTGGTATTTTTTTTTACATGGCTTAACTGCAATACAATTAAGACCAGTTTCCTTTAGATGTGGATGCTCTCTTGCCTCGATTCCTTATAAAAAGCTTTACATTTTGTTGAATGAAATTGTAGCAAAAATGTCTCATGAATAAATGCATTTGCGGGCAGCCTTTTTACGGTCAACTCTTTGCACACACGCAAGTGTTAAGGATGTGTGTGTGAAAATCCTGGGCAAATATGGTAAAAGTCACGGATTAGAGTGAAGCATTTGCAGCATATGCAAGCTTTCAGCTTTTGTTAATATTTTACAATGCTTTTAGGTTCGAAATATATATGACTTCACACGTGCCTTGAACGAAAAGTAAATTTCACGTGCGGCTGTTGGCTGAAGTCTGGTGCTCGACGTAGATATAGTTCCCAGAATTCTGGACTTCAGCTATCCGAAAATATACATGGTTGGAGAGTTGGCAAAATATTTGCACAACGAAATGACAAATTAATTGTGAAAATTTTGCGCTTGGCGCTTTTAAAGCACAAGTGCAAACAAATTTTTCGGTGCAAACAAAATTGCAGAGGCGCTTGTCTCCCAGCTCCTAGCCAGGAATTTCAGTGTCTGCCGTCCTGCCGTTTTACGGCGGCTGGCAAATTAAATTCCTTGCCCAACATGAGCACAAAGTAAACAAAGATGTACGACAAATGCAATAACAACAACAGCAGCTACCACTATTACAACAAAGAGTAGCTGTTGACTAGGGGTAGAGTGAAGTAGAACATGGACAACAACTACCATAACAACAACAGCAGCAGCAATATTGAATCGCCAGTTACATGCCACGTTGAACTCATAAAAACAGCTTTTACTTCATTTTGACCAAGTGAATGCGCTGTCCGGGCTTGGTCCTGATTGAGCACCATGAAGATAGTTTGTTGCTGCATAGAGGTTAGTTAGAGCTTGACTAGAGTTCAGTTAGTTCATGAGCCAGAAACACAGCGAATATCAGTATGCGACTTGCACGACTGTGTTATACTCTGCAGGTCCAAAATATTATTGAGGAGTTATTTTGTTTGATTACCAATATTTTATGGCTTCTTATTATAACAGTTAAGTTTTCACAGAAATATTTAAAACGCAAGGGCTTACATTGCGTATACGTAATACGAGCTACAAGCGAATTGTCTTGAATTACGTATACACAATGTTAACCATTAAAGCTTGGCGATTCATACATTCGAAATCCTTTCGCAATAATTTGCTGCTTCAGCTGCTGCCTGCCCGTTTGTTTGTCCAGCTCAAACAGGCAGAAGAAGCAAATATTATTTCGCAAACAGAAATATCAACGAAATGTTCAATTAATTCGCAATGTGAGAAAATGAGAAAGCTGCCCAGTTGAAATGTTTTTGGCATTTAATCCAGGGATTTTACAGCTTAACTTGATTCGTCGACTTACCTCAAAATGTAAAATTATTTGAATTTGCCTATTTGACAGCTGGATTTTCCACTTTATGCTTTTGTGCTATCTGTAAATACATAAACATAAACAATAATTAAAACGAATTTTAGGCCGTTGAATTGCAAACTCATTAAATCAAAGCTAAATTGTGCAAATAGATGCCACAGTTATCATTTAAATACAATATTTTACATAAATTGTAAGTCTTTATTATTTATATTGCCATGTAGTTTGTATACTCTGCAATTGTGCACAGCATGAGGTATGCTCAAGCAGTTTGTGGAGAGTTTTATATACATAAAAACATCATTTATATATAGATGACATTATATATATCATGGCATATAAAATGCTATTCCAAGTATAGGGTATTGCCATGTCATGCAGCCTCGACTTATTTTGCTTATGCTGTGATTATTCTCATTTGGAAAATGCAAAATCAGCTATGCGTAACCAGAGCAAACGGTTCAGATATCAGCTCAGCTTGGGGTTTCTCCTACCCATTTATAGTTCGTTTACAAAGGGGGCGGCTGTCCAACCCCCAACCACCCAATTCTTGTTCTGATTTTTTTTTCTGTTAGCCCCATGTAAGAAATTGAAATGGAAATGGAGAGTGGAAAAAGTCGCTTTGTATAAATATTAATGAAGTAGGCCATAGAAGTGCGAGGCGTTCCATTGAGTAGGTCGTACTCGTTGCTCGATGCTATTGAATGGGGCATTTTGTATCAAGAAATTCTGGCCTATTTACAGGCTGTACCACTCGCCTCCCGGTCTCGGCTTGTGCCTTTTCCTGTTATTGGAACTTGACTCTTGTTTGTGTTTGTGTATATTGCTGTTGTGCTTGTTGTTGTTGTTGTTGCTGTTCTCATTGTTGTCGTTGTTTATTTGCATAAGAGCCCAATAAGCAACGCATAATGGAACCAGAAACGAGCTCGAATTTTCTCTTCAGCACGTTATTAGTGCCTTGCGGGGCAGCCAGCTCCACGCATCAGCGCTTCAAACATGATGCAGCAAATGGTGTGTGCACTAAATGCGTAATTACTAGACCAGTTCAGACTTGTGTCCATGTTCTGGTCTAGCAAATGGCGCTTGTAATGATAATGCCGCCATAAAGCTACGTGCGAGTAGAAAAAAAATGTGCGAATCAACTCGATAAATTCTGAGTAGATAAATTCCACAGAGCTCACAAACAGCACATATTCCAAATAAAAGCGACATCTTATCTAAGCACAAAATACTATTTCTTTGTGCAATTAGTGTTTTTTTCTTTCATACTTGAAGTCATTTGCAGTATTTCTAATTGCAAATGACATTTGGCTGAAAGAGCAAATGATAGGAGACGACACGCAACTTGATTGCACAGTCAAAGCTCATCAGGAGGGATGCAGCTTGCAGCTAACGACAATACAAATGCGTGTGTGCTCCTTTCTAGGAGCAGTCGATGGCTAAATATCTTTGCAACTGCACACACATAAAAGCCCTGATTAGAACGACAAGACACAGACCGATGTAGTAGTCCATTAAAATCCACTCAAGTGCACTTAAACGCTTCCGAGTGCTTTGCAGCTCTGCAATGGCATAAAAGACCAAATTCTAGTTGACTAAGATCGGACTTGTCAAGCCTTTGCTCTAATGCGAATTCAAACTCTTAATCGTTTGGGCATGCATACTCCCATCAAATCCGATCTAAGTGGTTAAGTATGTTCTTATGAAGTTATGCCGGGCAGACTGTGTGAGAAGTCAAGTTATGTGTGGATGCAAGTTGAGGCTGTAAAATAACCAACTTGACTGTAACCATAAATGGGCTATTATATCAAGCCTGAGGTAAAGTCTTTGGTCAGACACTGAGCTGCATGTCCAGTCAGTCAAGTGATGTTAGCCTTAAAGCATGACATTAAAACAGCGTTTATATGTTAACAATCGTAACTAGAATTAAATTTTCATATCAAATAACTTAATATGCCTTTGCTATTCAGCTATTTGACTTTTATCTCTAACAAAGCAAACTAAATTTCCGTTTGAGATACCCCTGCGTTCTTTGATTTATAAGCATCAAGAGTAAATCGTGCAATAACTTTTATTTATTTTAGTTAAAGCTGATGGTTAACAAACATTACGCATATGTTTTATAGTAAGACAGTCTCTAAGAATATCTTTGCTAAGTATATAATAGAACAAAGAGAATAATGTATATCTCTGATCTCCATTTATTTGCGATTCCGCATCATCATCATGGATATGCTATAGATGAGCTTTGTTAGCTGCAAGCAATTTAAATATTAGTTTAAGCTCATCATTGATCTAAGTCAAAGTCGCTTGCCTGCAGCGCTGTGCCCAAGCTGAGTGGCACAAGGCCAAGCAATACGATGATTTTCATATTCTGCGCCCTCTGCAGCATCACAGCATACAATTTGCGTTGATCACAATTCAGTTCATGCCAACTCAAGCAGCAGACGGTCTCGTACACCTGATCATACTGTAATATATAATATCAATTAACTTTCCTTTAAGAGCAACCCCATAGCAAACTGACAGCGAACTCAATTTGTGTGCCCACAACGCAGTAGACTGTCATCGAGTAGGCGCTAACCAAAAAGAAGATGGCAGAAATCAGGTGAAATCCATTGAGATTCACGCATAGGCAAACGACAATTGACACCGAAGCTGCAAACACCTGAGCAGCGATCAGATTGTCATAGATCTTCTCGACCAATTCACAATAGCTGAAATTATTCTAATATAAACAGAAGCGAAGAAGCTTAGTTACTTGACTCGACTTACTCCACGAACAGCTGATGCCAATTGATTAAGTCCATTAGCAGTGCCTGTACATCGAAATCGATATATTCGCCAACATTGCTCACATATCTGGACTGCTCTTTGCGATCGAGCGCATCGTTCAAGGCACTCGCTTTCAGCTGGAAAATGTCGGCGAATGTTTGGATCTGGATTAGGGCTAGCAGTACCAACATATCGCCCAAATAGAAGCCAACGCCGCCCACCACCTCTGGTATCGTGTGCTGCAGATATGTGAGCCCATAGCCGATATTAGAGTCGAGCGACAGGCCCGGTATCTCATATGGCATGACTGTGATGCGTATGCCCTTGTAGACGAGTAATACCAAAGGTATCAAGAGCATTATGAGGAACGTAATTGAGTAGCCGACGAAAATGATGCGCTGTATTTTGTTCACTCGATCGATGCCGAAGTTGAGAGTGTTACAATAGTCGACACCGCGTTTCTCGTACTCTTCATAGATTCTTATAATATAGTGTAACAGATCCCTGATGGGCGTATGCCTGAGCAGTATGGTGAGTAACTTGGCCGAGCCGCTCACGAGACCGCCCAGCATAATGCAGGACTTAATGCCCTCCATCCAATGCCGTCGCGCCTCTATGATGCCCCAGTTGACGCCGAAGATCGCGTAGGTTATCGGCGCTGATATTGTGATCCAGGTGCGGCCAATGTATTTAACATTGACCGTCAGCATATCCAATCCCAGCTGCTGGGCAACCGAGTTGATGTGCGTCACAAGCTCGTGCATACGCAACGAAGGTCTCATGTTGACTGTTTGCTTATTGAGCCATCGGAATCGCCTTTTATAGTCCACAAAGCTAATTGCTCGTGTGTGTGTGGGAGTTACGATAATTACTATATAATGTTGTCATTGATTTTGTAATTATTGCAAATATGTGCAATTGCAATTGGTTCCCATAAATCAAGGCTATGCGACATTACAGAAAATTACCTTTAAATGTCATCTAAAGGGGTTCATTATTGATCAATTTGGATTCAGATTCAGAGTTAATTATCAATGGAAACTTTGTTTATGCATTCGTATTTAGAAAATATAATTTCTCTACACATTCTCTAACAATTTCTTAACAATCGAAGTATAGAAATACTCATAAGTATCTCTAAATATATGAATCAAAAATCAATTAGTGCAGCTTGTAGATTATACAGTGTATTAACAATTCGTACAATTCTCAACCGTGTGTCTAGCAGCTAATGCTGCCCCTGGGCATTATTATATGGATGAATAATTGCATGGATGAGTCCAGCATGGAGTGCATTTCAGTTTCATTTGATGTTGTTGGGCTGTTAAGGCACGTAAAATGCAAGCAATGGCTCGTATTTTATAGCCATCTGTGATTTATGTCTTTAAAATGGCCATTAAACTGCAACACAACACATTAAGCTGCAAGCTGTGCAACTAGTTGCATGCAACAACAATGTTGGCTGCCTGCACCGTTGAGAGTTTCTGTCGGTCTACCTTTGGCTTGGCTCTAATTAAATTTAAAAGCGTTTTAGGGCCAGCAGCGCAAATGTTTATTTTATTTCTTGTGTTTATCTTTAGAAAATGTATTTTATTTTCACTTTCGGGACAGCGCTTAAGCAAAGTTTTTGGGCTATCGAAAGAAGTTGCAAACCATTAAATGGCAGCTAAAACTTGAGAGCCTTCGGCTGTTGGCAGTTTGTTGGCCCAGTTTTTTATTTGATGCCAGCAGCACGTCAGGACATTTGTTTTTATTGCTGCCACGTATATGTGTGTGTGTGTATGTGTAGGTTGATTGTACTGCGCCCGTTGTGCTATCCCTGAGCGGCAGACGGTAAGTCGCAACTAACGAGGCCATCAACAGGATGCGGCACCAGCACAAAAGCCGATTGCAGCCAGCTATGTGATTAGAGATGGAGATTGGTTGGAAAAAGGGAACGACAGCAGCAGAAAGAGGTAGAGGTTGGCTTCCTGGAGGGCTAGAGCAATGCCTTTAACTGTAATTGCCTCAGCCGTGCCATCGTCCTACAGCCTGGGTGCACAAATTAGGCTTAAACGCCTTCGATGGCATAACTCTCTGCTGCCTGCTCGGTCGTCCCTTCTTGCTTAGCTTTTAGATTGGATTTAGCACAAGGCTGTTCCTTTTTTTTTTGGTAGCTTCACCGTCTGTTAGGCAGATAAGCAGCTGAATTTAAAGATTAGTTGACTGAAAGCCATTCGAAGTGGCTTATGGCTTACACTTTACGAGTGAACCTAATTTAGTTTTATTGCAGCTTGTTGCTTGAACATAGTTTAAAGGAAAGTAAGTTGAATTGCGAAAGAGGATTCTATCAAGATCTCATATAAACATAAGAAGTTCAAAATATATTTTAGCATATTTTTCTCATCTATCTCAAGTTTCGTGTCCAGTCCCACACACTTCTCTTTCAAATATGCTGGACACGCTCATAAACAATCATTTAATGGCCTATGAACAGCAGCTGCTACCATCTCATCGTTGTGGAAAGTGTGTACAGTAAAAATGATACCCTGTACTTAGTTGATTGCGGGGAAGTTATGCAGTGCGAGTGCTTATGACAAGCCTGTTCTTGACTCTAACTTTGAATCTCTTTGTTTTTGTTTTGTTATATAAAAATATTCCAGAAAGTATGCCAAACTTAACTTAATAAGTATCTATTAGTCGAGCTGCCTTTGATTTTGCTTTGGTTACGCCTGTTGTCTTTGGCTGATCATAAAATTAGCATTTTTATGCAACGCTCACCCACATACACCACACACATACACACTACACACACACAATTAGGCACAGGGAGCGAAGCTGGTCTCATTCATTTCTGTTTATTTAGTGGGCGGAAACTTTTTCCACTGTAAAATGGCGCACATAAAGTGAACTTTAATGACTAGGTATGTTGTCTGATAGTTGGGCAATGTGCTCACATTTACATGCACATTAAATGACCAGACAGACAGGTGTTGGCCAGGGGTTGGGGGCGTGGTGACTGGCTGAGGCGGGGCCAAGAATGGTGTTGGTCTAGCGGCTGGGTCGATACGATTTTGGCTGCCAATGGTCATTACTTGGCAAGCGTTTAAGTCGCCTGGGCCGTTGAATTTTAATGGCCAGCAACGACTGGGGATGAGACTGAGAGGGTCTGGACCCCGGAACACTTGGAGTGTCGTTAAGAGCAGCCATGAAACTCAGCTGGATCATGTACGGCAGCCAAATACCCCGCTTCCAACTCAACTTATAGCCAATGAAGCTGGGCCAAAGGCGAGCTGCGCTTTTTGGTTACGGTTACGTTAACGTTTACGGTTTTGTCTGCTGCCAAATGGCGATTCTGACCATTGGCTGCAATTAAACTCGCACGCCCAATACACACAGACAGACACACACGGACACACAACTGGCGTGTTAATTGAGGTAAATTACGTCATTTTTTATTGTTATTTTTGCTTTTCTTCTTTCATTTTTGCGTTGTTGGCCTCGCCAGCGCCAGTCAAATGGGTTCATGCGCAAAATTTATTTGTTTAATTGCATTTTTTCGCTGCGCCCCAAAAAGTATGCTATAAAAAGTGCACGAGCCAGGCAAAAGCCGTAAATTTATTCGTGCTGCCTGTACCAGAGGCGCTGCACTTAATGAAATTTATAAAATATATGCGATGCGCTGTTGAATTACTTATTTATTTCCGAGAACAGTTCAGAATACCCTGTAAATTCGTTGATAATTGGCCTTGAATGCTGTAAGATTTGGTTTAGTTATAATTTAAGTAGAAAATATTGTTTTTACAAAATAGAACATATTATCAATATATATTTCAGTTAAAGATAGATTTTATTTAAGAAGAAATATTGCCTTATGGACTGAATGTGAAGAACGTTTAGTTAGTAAAATTGTTTCGAAAGTTTCTCGCCTGTTGAAAGCAATTAAGATAACTTTTGTTACGATTCTATGCCTTGGGGCCCCAACTACAGGGTATAGCAGAGCAAACAAAAGGAACAAGCATTCGTTTAGCGCTTCAATTTTCTTACCCCTACTTGAGTGCCAAATGCGTTGAAAAGTTTTTTCTTTATTAAAGCCAAAGCCTTAAGTCATAGACACTGCATTACACCAGACATATGTACTTTATCTAGCTAATGCCTGAGTCCGTGTGTGTGTGTGTGTGTTTGTGTTATTCTTGTTGTTGTTATTTGAGAACTAAGCGATTGTCTGCGTTTCTGTTTTGTGTTATGTTTTGTTTTGTTTTTCTGCTGTGTTGCTGCAGCTGCTTTTTCCTTTGTTTTTGCTCGGCTCTGCGTGCGCCTTGTGTTTTGCCAGCTTCCGTTTCCGTCTGACTCTACACAGTCTCTATTGTGTGTGTGTGCGTGTGTTTGCCTTCCTGTTTGCGCCTGGAGTCGACTCTGAACGCTTGCTTCATATTTCGCCCATTTTCGTTTACTTTATAAAATTGTAAAATATTACACAAATAAATAGAAATTGTGTTGTGTGTGCGGCCCGCAAAGGCAGCTACTTAGACAATGGCCCGCAGGGAGCGGCAAAAGTTTTGAGCGCCTTTAATTTCTACAGCAGCAGCTCTGCTGCGAGCCGTCCCTAAGGACCCATTCTCTGCTGCCACAAGTCACATTAAAGTCAAAAGCTGTGACAGCAAAAATGCTGCTTTGCTTTTTATTTTTCGGGTCGCGACGACTTTTTTATTGCATTTTGGGTTGATTTTTGTTGTTGTTTTAGCTGATGATGCTGCGCTGACGTTGGCTGTACCAGCTTGGTTGAGCGTGGGGTATGGGGCATGCAACAGCAACTTGCAGCAGCTTGGCAGCCGTTTTTTCTCAGCGCTTTTTTTTTGAGGGTCTGTTGATGACGTTTTGTCATGTTGTTTTTGCAGCTCACTGCTCTGGCTCCGTACTAAGCCAGGCGCCTCGGCTCACACTCTCTGTCTCGCTCTCTGCTTATTCGCAGCAGTCTAATATCAACACTTTTGTGCTACGTAATTACTTTGAAATTAGTTTGCGTCACAAACTTTGCACATTATGCGCATCCTTATGCCTGGCCCCGAGCATTGCACACACACACACACAACACACTTGCCTTAACGTTAGAGTTGCCATTAGCGTTGTTGTTTGTATTCTGCTTACTCTTTTTCTTTCTCTCACTCTCTCTATTTCTCTGTTACTCTCTTCGCCTTACTCTTCTTTGCACTGTCTTCCTGTTTCCTCTTTTGCTTTTTGCTGTTTTGACGTTGTTTTCAGAACTTGTTTGTTATTTCATTAAATTAAATGTTCTGGGATTTTAGCGCTCAAGTATGTATGGTTGTGTGTGTGTGTGTGTGTATTTAAGCGCGTGCATGTCACAAATAAAATAAATATCATTTAATTGCTTTCGAAATACACAAAACACAGCGCAACGCATTTGTTTCGCTAATGTCCCAAAACACCAAAAACAACTTACTTGTTCACTGGGGGAAATAACCAGAAATAGAGAAATTTATAGAACGAAATAGACAGAGAGAGAGAGAGAGAGAGGGAGAGAGAGAGAGAGCGAGAGAGTGGGTGAGGTGCTGGCTTTGAAAATCAATTGGAAGCAACCGAAAACTAAAAGTCATACTGATACGTGTGTATGGGTGTGCGTGTGTGTGTGTGTGCTTCACTTATGTCGAATTGAAATATTCATATCATATTTGATTAATTATGTAGTTGTTGAAGTGGAAGAGTTGTCTGCCTAAGTGACTAATTCATTAGGGTAAGTGAAAGACAATAGATGGAAAGTGTGTTTCCTGGTTATGCTGAGATTGTTAGATTAATGGTTATATAAGTGTAAAGTTGAT